CCATAAGTTCCTCCAATTTTGGTTGCCCTCTATTGTCACGATCCAAGGTACACCCTAGACCTGACATGACGCGTAAGACCCCGAGACCCTGCACAAGCCACTTAGTATACATCATACAAGATAATAGAAGCAAAAGAGTTTAAAAGTAGCATTTCATATAAAAGAGTTTGACACAAGTAGCGGAAGTCTAAACATAAGTCCAAGCCATCTATTACATCAAAGGAGTGATTGGGACGTAACCCATACATCACATACAACAATCTAAAAGGAAAAGACATGAAAAACAATAAAGAGTCTCGGTCCTTAGAGCATGAGGACTCACCAATCTTCAAAGCTCATTATGGGATCACTAGCCCCGAGTATGCGGAATGGAAGCGTCCGACCCTACATTAGAGAAACAATGTAGGCACAAGTATGCATTAGTACATGGAATGTACTAAATATGATAGCAATGCACAAGTGTATGAAGTCATCCGTAAAAGGGACTTTATATGACATGCAATGACCAAGCTAAATCATAAGTTAAAAAGGGTTAGAAAACATAAATCATAATCACGTCAATGCATGCTAAACATCTTTAAAACACTTGTGAGATACTTCTAGAAGTAACCTTAGTTCATTATTGTGGGAGATTTACCTTTAACCGACATATAGACCATGTGAGCTATAACATGGAATCCGGTGTCTATCCCACACTGAAAAGAGATGTCCTTACTTGCTAAGGTAAGAACCATAACTTCGGATCTTCTCCCTTGGTCCTATAACTCTGATTCTTGCCCATCTCAGATGATTTTTAATATGTCTCCTCTTAAGTTTGTAGCCACCCTCCACATTCATCACCTATCTTTTCCATCACCTTGTTCCAGAGTTGCAATGGTAGCCCTAAACCCTAATCCAAAACAATCAAACCTTTTTCATCTGGGATGACTCCTATTGTTGGAGACCACCATTCCAGCTTCACGGTTAGACCTTGTCTCTTCCATTTACCCTTGATAACATGTTCAACCATCCTTATGGTCTGAAATTCGAAGAGAAAGAGGAAGCCATTCATGTTGTACACCTGAATATTATGAGCTCCTTTCCACGTTTGTTGGGCCCATCTACGCACTTCATTTCGAATTGGCGCATCTCTTTCTCCACAAAACTTGCCAACGAGACATCTTCGTAACAGGTTGCTGTCATCTACATGGAAGACACTGTCAACATTGAATTCTCACGGGTTACATTCATTTCTCTCTTGCCCATTTACTGTTGTGCAGAGCTCCCTTGTAATCCCCCTTCCTAACGATTGTATTGAGATTTAATTCCCTTTTTGTAATAAATTCCCCCTTCTTCTCTACTTTTCTCTCAATGAAGTTCTCCACTTTTGTTACCAGATTCCCCCATCCCTCATTAAATGTATTTTTGGAATAATAATTACTGATCTACTCTGCCCCTTCACTGTAAAATAATAGAAATAAATGAACCGTACTTATTGAACTTCAGGGAGCAATAAATATATGTCGAAATGTCTCTACATCTTCATGTTTTGAAGTTTCCCCCTGCTTTTAGAAGCTTCCTTTAATATTTTGCATAACCAAAGTAAAGCTCCCCTACTCAATATCATACGCTTGATAGACATCCTGGTACTCTCCACCAATTCAAACTATCTCTCTGAAAGCAGATATTGATTCTGTAAGATCATAAGATTTTCCTCCTTTCTGAAAAAAATTAAAATGGAAAAAAAA